AGGTGCGTGGAGAGCGGGTGGTGGATGTGGAGGGACGACTGGCGGTGGTCTGGGGGAATGGGGAGGTTGGCGCCCTGTTCTCTGCCCCTTCCCCGCTCCCTACTTGCCCCCTGCCCATTCCCTGCTCCGTGCCTGCCCTCGGCCCCGCTCACACTCAAAGTCCTCCTCGCCGTAGCTGCGTCCGGCCTCCTCAGCGTTTCGGGGGTGAGCGTCGCTCAGGATCTCCTCGAAGCGCTCCACGCCCAGCGCCTTGTTCAGGTCCTTCTCCTCCTCCTCCTCCCCGAAGACAGGTGAGCCGGCGCCCGGTGCCTCCTGCTCGGGCTGCGGGCCGGCACCGGGGCTGAGCGGGCACTCGGTGCCGCCGGCATCGCGGCCACCACACCACCGGCCCCCGGCACAGCCCAGTCACACGGCCCCCTGCACCATGGGCACCCCGGACAGGGGGCTCTCTGGGGTCCCCAAAGGCACCCAGGGACCCCTGGGCAGGGTGCCCACCGCGTCATTCACACCCCACAGACCCCACGCACCCCCAGCACACCCCGTACACCCCCATTCCCACCCCGCACAGCCCACGCTCCCCCAGCCTCAGCACCGCGCTCCAGTGTTGCCTCCAGCCCACGTGCCCCAGCACCCCCAGTGCCATGCCCTGGTGCCACGCACCCCTGTGCACCCCCAGTGCCTGCTCGCCAGTCAGCCAGGACCCAGCATCCCCAGTGCTGTGCCCGCCCGTGCACCCCCAAGACCACGGCACAGTGCTGTACCCCTGGGCATCCCCAAGGCCACGCCACCTCCACGTGCCCCAGCACCCCAGTGCCACACTCCCAGTCCCCCAGAACACCACAGCCCCGGTGCCGTGCCCGCCGTGCGCCGCCAGTGCCGTGTCCTCGTGCTGTGCCCCTGGGTATCCTCAGTTCCCTTCTCCCCACAAACTGGAACCCAGCACCCCCAGCGCTGTGACCCTGAACAACCTTAGCACACCCAGTATCATGCCCTGGTGCTGTGCCCCCCATGCAACCCCAGTGCTGTGCCCCCCATGCACCCCCCGTGCCGTGCCCGGTGCTGTGCCCCCC